AGAGCTGAAGAAAAGTGGTGTGGTAGACATGGAAAATCGTATGCAGAGTAGTGTGTATGCATGTGAAAATTGGTTCAATTTCTAAGGATCATTCGGAACATAACATAGTCTTCCATAACCAAGAGTTCTCCAGATGTTTCGGATTTCAGCTCCCATCAGTTCCAGCCAGCATGGCCCATCAGTAGGAATGCTGGGAGTTGTAATCCAAACAATCTACAGAGCACCACAAATAACGGATATCTCTTATCTGTTACCTATTGCATAGAACAGACTGGATGTTTGTTATTTTATATTGCAACCTTGATTTGCTCACCTTTGAAGCTATGTAGATCTTGGTTAGATAGGATGACTACATTGCAGAGCACAGGTTAGCACGTGTGGGTTTCCATGTGTTCTTTGACAGATTGTACGCATGTGGAACTCTGAACTTCTTAAGTACTTTGTGCAAAGAAAGTTGGGAGAATCCTTCAGCTTCCTGGAATTTTGTTTTATCATCTGTTAAATTTTGGTGGAATGCAAGTTTCATGTTCTTTGTGAAGACTGCTCTTTCCCTCGTTCAACTGGGAAAGGAAGCAGAGGAGAATCGGGAGTTGATGGAGCCATGTTCTTTTTCCTTTAGAACTACTCACAAGAACTGACTTCAGTGCTCTTGGCACACAGAGTGCATGAAGTGTAGCTCAGTTGCTTGGCTTCATTGCCTCTGCAATGCTAATGTAAGTGCCAGAGCAAAAAAACTTGATTCTTATTTAATGAGGAAACAGAGCTCTGGAGGTTTGTCTAAATTAGGAAAACATGCAAATGACATCTATTTAATCTCTGTGCATGCTTGGACTCTTTCTTGGGTGTAGCCCTTTCTCCTTTCCCCATCTTCACCAGCTGCATCAAGTTAGATGAAGCTTACATTAGCAAAAATGTCAAAATAATTTCCAGAGGAGCTGAGTGGTGTATTTTCCATCTAGATTTATAGGAAGATTTCAAAATCAGTTTCTTAAGGCAATTAAAGGTGCAATCCCATGCATATTTTGACTGAAAAAAAATACCAGGTGTTGAAGGACATTTTTCTGTCTAAGCTTGCATAGGATTTCACCTAAATGACTTCTCAGTATAACAAAATACTTTTGCTGGCAAAACTTAAAATAGTTAAAAATAAGTGTCCAGGCCCATAGTAACTAGTTAATTAATAAATCTTTGCTCCAATTGCGGCCAGTTACCCATGTAAGTGGGATGGGATAGGTCATAAGGTACTGCTAATGCCTTCCCAGATTTCCTTTCCCCATCTCCCAACCTTAAAGCAGTCTTGGAAAAGAGCCCACATTTATGACAGAACAGACAAAGGTTGAATAGGTGCAGTTTGCCACTGGCAGCTTCCATAGAGGGTCTATTTTGTACATGTACTGGTACTATATTGCCAAAGTGATCCTCAATGGCAGTTTGCAAGATAAGAATGTTAACAAAATAAATAAATACAAGGAACAAATCAGTACTTAAAACCCATTAGAACCATCTGGTTACAGGCAACACCGGGAACCTGGTGAGTCTCACACGTGCACATACACACGTTAAACCACACTGCCATTAGCAGTATGGAAGCAGCAGTGCCAATTATTTCTGGGTCCTTGGATGGATGGAAGAGGAGGTTTTAGCTTATTTCCCCTTCCAGCAACCTGGCTAGCATCCCTGCTTTTGCACTGCAATTAATGGTGTGGAAGCAGCAATGACTCTGATGGACATTGCTGCTCCTGTGCAACTAACAACAATGCAACAGCAGTGACTCTGGCTGCTGCAGGATCTCTTTAGCCCCCTCCTTTCCTCTGTAGGCACTGCCTCTTCTGTGCAACCATGAGCAGTGCAGAAGGAAGCAATACCAATCAACGCTGGTAGCAGCAGGGGCCAGGAATTCAGTGGAGTGGAAGGAACATTGGCGCCTCATCTAGGGAATGTGTATAGCCTCCAGTCCACTAAGATACTGCACATGGCAGCAAATAAAATATAACCAGTTCCGTTAAAAGCAGCCCGCTGCCTTATCCTCTAAATTTCTTTTGGGATAAAAACAGTTGAACTGGTTTTTGGAAATTGAGTCTGGTAGCGTTGATCAAGGAGACGAATATTCAAGAGGGAACCACTGTTGAGAAGGTCCCGTTTCTTGTAACTTGTGACCTAAGACAAATGTAGATTTGGAAGAGAACCTCCTCTGAAGTCCTCAGGAAATTGGGTGGCTACTAAGAGCCACTCGCAGGTGGCTGTTCTTAGGGTTTAGGACTAACTCCTTGCTCCATCTTTGTTGTTCTTCCCATGTACCGCAAATGTATTCGTGCTGGCTTTTGACTCTTGCTTGATCAGCTGCTGAACTGGGTTTTTAATAGTGAACTAAGCAAATTCTCCTGGTTTGAAGGGAGGGGAAACTTCAGCTACTTTAAGTAGATGGAGTTGTGCTGGAGGCACAAAGTGCACAAACCCAAAGTTCTGCTCCTTATGCACTTAGAACTAAACTATGGGTTACCATCATGTATGGTTGCATAAGTTCGCTGTTGGTATGCTTTTAAGGCAGAAAGCTCCCAGTCAGCCTCCCTGAATAGAATTATTCCCGCCTTGCAATTTGCCACTTGCAGCAGTTACACCCATGCAAGAATCCAAGTGACAACCCATTTCCACAACAGGAATAGCATCTTCCAGAGCACTGCAAGTTGTTTATTACAGTGCAGCGCTGTAGCAGTAGATGCTGCATTGGACACTTTCTCCAGAACCAGCAGCTTTTAATGCTGAAAAGAAAGGCAGATACCTATGAGAAGGTTCTCCCTGCATTAAGCACAGCTTGATTCCCACTCTCTAGGCCAGAATAGTTAGATGGACTGGTCCCCCATTGCAAGAGAATGGTATTGTGCAGTACCATCAGTACACAAGAGAGGCTGCATGTGGAAAGTTGAATTAATTAAGGCATTGGGAGCACCTTTGAAAACCACAGAAAATTGCAAAAGAAAAAGCACCCCAAGGCTCCACTGTATGCTTTAATATATACAAAAGAAACCCTAAAATAGGATTGTACCCCTTGATGGCAACAGGGAAGGTAAAAAGCCCCCTGCACTTTATTATTTGGAGCAGTAGGTCAGTTCTCTGCCTTCTAGTCTGGTTAACCATCTCCTGACTGTTGTCCTTCCCTTCTTCAAGAGGCTAAGCACAACAACGGCTTTCTGGCATGACTTTGTAGGTGTGCTAGACTTCAGAGGCTCTATTATTTGAGACCGTGCTTTTGTACCGATAATCTTTTATTAATTTTCAAGGTCCTTTGCATTGAGGTGTAATTCAAGACATACTTGTAATGGAAGAAGCGGCCCTCACCCATGCAAACAGAGTTGCAACAGGATTAAGCAAGTAGAATAAAGAAAGGAATAGAATTTAGCTGGTAGACCCAGAAGTTCTGCTTGTTCTCCAAAGAAATGGGATTATGTAGAAAAGCTTATTACACAATATATTGCTTCATTAAAGGTTTGGTCTCCATGCCAGATTTCTTGCCACAAAATACAGGCTGGTTTGCATGAGCAAAACATATTGAACTTTGCTTCCATTAAGAAGCCATCCATTCCCATAAAACATGAATTCACAACATCATAAGAGGAGCTGTGCTCAACTAAACCAAAAGTCCAGGTTGTCCACCATCCCACAGTAGCACACCATGTGCCTACAAGGAAGCCCGCAATAGGACATGAGCAAAACTCCCCTCCTGTTGCTGCTCATCAGCACCTGGAACATCCACATGCAAGTTACAAATCCCAAAGGTTAATAGCCAGGCAGCCAGAATGCTTCCGTAAGGAAAATTTTCCTGTGCCTTCATGGCAACCCATCTACCTCCTGGCCGGTGAGTGCCTTTGCACTCACACCTGGGTAACCAGTATAAATCAACCGCCTCCCACAACATGGAAATAATGTGGTATCTTTGCCTTCATATGTACTGCCTGAAAAGGGTCTCCACAAGCTGGCCAACAGGGTGGCTGCAGCAAAGTCTTTCTCCCTGCTCCAAGAAGGCAGGTAACAAGTTCCAAAAAGTCAGTAGCATTTGGCACTGTCCTTTTGCACCCACAACACAACCTAATAGGCTGGCTTGGGGATCTGCTTCATCTCCATCCCACAGGTGCAAATGGGATAACACGCTGTCAGGTGATCAATGGCAGCGGACAGATCTTGAAGTCTGGAAATCATGTACAGATAGACTTCTTCCTACAGGAACTTTTAAAGGCATTTAAGCTATTCATGTGGCACAGGTTTTCTGGAGAGCAGGAAAAGTGCACTCAGGACATTTGAAAGGGGGTAGCACAAGTCTCCAGAGGAGAGAAAAGGGTCTTGAGTAGGAATTTATGAGAGTTTCATTTTTAACTCAGATTTTCAAAAATCAAACATGCACACTTTATGCAGGGGAAGTGAGCCTTTGTATGTGCACTTTTTAAAAGAAGGTAGACCAAAATGCACAATTTCCCCATTTGAATGAAAAATAAACAGATTTGCAATTGAAAATAAGAGTGAGAGAGTCTGAACTTCAAGTTGGAACCTGGAAAACCTTGGAGTCTGAGCATTGTTGATTTTCTAACCCACTAAACCCCAATACACGGGGGTTCTGTTTTTCCGCATCCCTAAACCAAGCTGAAATGTCAGGGAGAAAGGTTCTAATTAGCCTTTCTCATGGAGGTTATGGTTTTTGTCAGGGGAGGGAAAGCATAGGCGATGTCAAATCCTGGCATTGCAACTACTATTGCATCCAAGAAAAGGAAAATAATTGTTTTCCCCACCTCCTGGCATGAATTTCAGGGAAGAGAAGGATCCTGTGGCAGCTAGAAGATCTCCCGGTCTCTATCAGCTGAGACAAGCCATTGATTGTAGTCACTGCCTTTCATGTGCTTCGGAGAGATTCCTTCCTCAAGGCAGAAATGTGACTATCTTTAAACACATGGTGTGAAGATTGCTGCACATTCACCTGCAGGTGTGGTATGCTGCGGTATCAGCCGAAAACACAGTAACTTCAGAAGGTACAGGGAAGTCAGTTCAAAAAGTTTCTCCCACCTTAAGTGACCTTCTTAGAGCACAGCACAAAGGCAAAGGAAGGGGGAAGCTGTGGGTTTCTGTTGCTGCTGAACTTTAAACAACTACATCTTATGTAGCCATCTTGCAAGCAATTACAGTTGGGTGAGGAGCTTAAATACAAGCCATGTGCAGGTTTCTCAGCAGTATGAGGCTGCAGCTCAGTCCTGCAGCTTTTCAACATTAAGACCCAAGTCTATCCAACGTCCCCTGCCCCAGGACTCCATGTGGTGGGGCCTGCTGCCTCTCCAGGGTCTCCATATTTGGAAAGATGCACCTAACTGCACGGAGCCAACTCTGGGGAAAGTGGCTGTAGCCCCTCAGCTGGTACTGGGAAGAACCTTGCCCAGACAGAGGGATTGCCCTGGGCCTTGGAGGAAGGGATGGGCTTGCATTTCAGTAATTCCACCTCGCTGTCCATACACATGCACATTGAACTGTGGGCAGGCATTTATTCATACAGTTTTAAGAAGCCTATTACAGGAGCAATTGGGCTTGGAGAATGTTGACCTCACACTATTTTCCTGAAGACTGATTTTGTTCACAGTCTACAGGAGGATGGAAGGGGCAGGTGTACCTGAGCCTATCATCCCTAGTTTCTGGGTTGCAGGAAAGCCAAACCCCTGTCCCCAGCTGACGCCTCTTGGCTGCTTTCTGCTGACAGTGTGCTGGGGCACCGTGAGGGTGGCACAACCTGCAGATCTCAGCTCTTGGCATTGTTCCTGGGCCACCGGCATTGCTGCATGTGGAATAGCCACACCACTATAAGGTGGATTGAAAACCTCATGCATGCTCTCCTGAGCCTTGAAGAACGCACAGGATGCAAAAGTAACGATGGGCAAGAAACTTCAGGAAGATCTCTGTGTCATTTGCTTACAGATGCTGAATTGCAGGGAGCTATCCCACCCCACAAAGCAGCTGGTGCCTCAAGCTAGTGTATGAAAATATAAGAACCTAAGCCAGGAGTCATCCACATTGTCCAAAGACAAGGATGTAGCATGCCTGCTGATTTCCTTTAAGTGCCCCCTCCCACATGCACACAGGTCAAAACTGAACACAGTATGAGATGATCTCCAGTCATTTGTTGGCTTTCATCAACCTTTCCTCCAATGACTCAGCAGTGAGCAAACACCTTCACAAACTGATGCATGTAGCAGGGAAGGATAAATAGGGATGTGTAAATAGATAGTTTAGTTCTAGATAGTGCCTCTGTACAATCCCAACAAAAACAAAAGAAAACCCAACACACAAATGTAGAAACAGACATAGTAAAAACTGCCTCAGAAGTCTTCCTTCTAATCTCTCCGAATCAACATATACATGCTTTGCTTATTCTTGCATCTCAACATAGGAGCAAGCTGCCAATCTGGTGCTTCAGGAAGTATAGCTCCATTGTAAATAAAATGTATGCAGACAGCAATATCAATGCAAGATAAAACAGGGAAACAACAAACGCTAAGAGTGCTGGTTTGGGGGTGGAGGGGTAAAAAAAATCCACAAATGGGCAAAACCTTTATTACTTTTATGTCAGCTTTTTGTAAATGGCAAAAGCACCTTAAAATTTAACATTGCATTGCACACGTTTTTGTAGACCTGCCCATAGGTTTCAGATAGATAAAGTGTGATTATCGGTTGGCAAATATATGTGCATGGGTATAGAGAAGTATAATGGAAACACGTGGGTCCAAAAGGGCATTGAAATGCACTGCAGTATTTCCATGACCTTCAATGCAGAGTACAAAACTAAATAACTGAAGATCAGAGAGAGTGCACGATTTATAACATCTGTGATGAGCGATACTATCTTTCCAGCTATGTTATCCTAACTAAACACTTGCAGTGGGAGAGAAACTCTTGTGTTCACAAGGAATAAAATCAAATTTGCTAGTAAATTCTAGATCAGGAATTTCCCTGCATCAGAGTTGACATCAAAGTACTGGCCTCAGTCAAAGTTGGCATTCAAAGGCTCCCCCCCCCCCCCAAAATTAGCATGAATATATGTAAGTGGGAAAGCAGGTATTCCTCTTCCTGGAAGAACAGCATGCACTTAAGTAAAATGAAAAGGTACAGGGATGGAGCTGATCTATCACTGCAGAAAATCCACAGTTGCTCCCATCCTTCTCTAAGCAATTATTTTTAAATCTCAAGACCACCTTTGTTTGCTAGAAACACTGATGTAATTCAGAAACTGCAATTTCAGGGCCTGTGCATTTTCTCAGAATCAGAAACAACACAGAAACTAAAACCAACTTAGAGAAGAAATTAGAAATGAAACTAGATTGGGTATTTTGCTTAGTGTCAATTTTTGTCAGCACCTGGAAAAATAGTTTAAGCAGAACCCACTGTAGTAACTAAATGACATTTCTTTCCCTTCCATCATCCATGTTAACTTTGTAAATTTTTTCATTTCTCTTGAGGGGTAGTTAACCTTCAGTTTTTCTAACCACTTTCAGGGCGTTTGACCTTTTAAAAAAAGTAACTGATGCCTTCTGGTAAGATCCGATCTTCTCTTTCTCCTCCTATATTTTTATTTTATACTGATAATTTTAATTTTGTATTTGTAAATCAATGTATTTTTTGTATTGTTATATTTAATGGTAATTTATTATGTACTATTGTATTTCAATGTATTTTATCATGTTGTAAGCCGCCCCGAGGTTTCGGCAAGGGGCGGCATAGAAATGTAATAATAATAATAATAATAATAATAATAATAATAATAATAATAAGCAAACTAAAACTTGTCAGAAAGGTGTTTGGGAGTATAGGAGTCACATTTGGTAAATATATATACTTGATTAGACCAGAGCCTTTTAAAAATCAACTCACCCCACTTTAAACACCTTTGGTCATCACCCCAAAACACATCCTCCCTAAAACAGGCTTACTATTGCACATCTAATTCCGGTTCATGCATTAGAAAGGGACTCTGTTAACCCTTACTGTCCCTGTGAGTCCATTTGTGTGCAAAGCTATGTGCAGAAAACCATATATGCATAGAGACTTTGATAATTTTCTGATAAGAACTTGCACCTAGCAGCTGCTGGAGATGTGGTTCCAGTGGAGCAAATATTGTTTCATTGGGGGGGGGGGGGCGTTGTCCTGCCTTCCCAATAGTAACTTTTGGAGGATAATAAAGGATGAAATTATGAAAAGTGTAGTTGCTGACCTCTCTTCAGATGCATTCCTAATTTAATTTGGATATATTAAATATATTGTTTCAACTGATGAAGTAGAAATAATGCTAGTTACTGTAGCCACTCATATGGCAATACAATATAGATAGAAGTGAAATAATCCCCAAGAAGTAACCATTAAGGTGTGGGATATGGTCCCTTGGTTAAAGTAGCATGGTAAGAGTGAAGAATTGTTATTAAATAACTCCTTTTATTGAAAAAATGAGTCCTTCAGTTTTATATTGTAAATAATAATAATATAAATATATAAATAGTAATTATATTGTAAATATAGATAACAATAATATATAAATACATAAATATTATAAATTAATAATAAATATTATATCTTCTTCTTATTATTATAGCAACTTACTGTTTTATTATTTATTTTATTAATGCTCTGTTGGTACAATAGTATTTTATTGTAAAACACCCAGAGAGTCCTCTGGGCCATGGGGCAGTAAATAAATGTAATAAATAAATAAATATTGAAACCCGAATATTCCTGATTAATACAAATCTTATTTTCTGATGGAGGTGATTTGGTATGCATTTAATGAGGTTATAGATATTCTTTGCTAATATTTTTATTTACAAATTGGTGTAAAATGGAAGTTAATCATTGAGTGATTTATTTGCAATGATGTAATGAAAGAATAACCTGAAATCTCCATTTATACAGCTAGATTAAGAACTTGTAGAGCTGTGGCAGCAATCCTTGCAGCTGTGGTAATCACAGAAGTTGTTGCTGCGATGGAAGACACAGCTTATACACAGTTAACACATCACAGTCTTCTGCCTGAATTTCTCTCCCCGGAATAGAGGGGTGTACCACTAGGAAACAAGAAAGTTCATTGTATCAAGCCCTTTTGTAACCTTTGCACCAGCTCTTAACAGTCAAACATTTTCAGGTATAAGGGTGAATTTGCAGTTTGCCACTGTGAAACTGCACCTTGCCATTTAATTTTGTACATCGATTTTTCCCAGGTACAGATTTTGAAGAAGCTTCAAAAATACTGAAGGCTGTTCCACAGATATGGAGACAAAAGTAGGCGATGGAGGTGGAGGGCAGCAGTCTCTGAAGGAGTCCGCCTCTCCATCCCTCACTCTTAATCGGGAAATCTCACTGAGGTCAACAGCAGAAGCTTCTTCTTGGGGAAATCTCCCCTGAACTACTATGCTAGACTTCGCTCCAAAAGAACCTCATTGTCTTCAGCTTTGCCACACCTGTGGATGTTGCCTACTGTCATGCTGGGTTAAAACTAAGCTAAGTAGGGTTGATTCTAAGAAGCAGACACAATATTAGCCCCTTTAATTTTGTTCGCCAAGGAAGATTTGTAGCACAAAGAAAACCCCAAGCAGCCTCAGGAAGTACCTATGTACTTCTGCCTTTCCTAGAACTGCAGACTATCCAGGGTTTAAACCCGCTCCTGTGATCTTTCATTTCTTGAGAGAACATGAAACCCAATCTGTCTCTGTGCTATATAAATAGAAAACCCAACAGCCAACCTGTCTTACCAGCTAGCTCTTATCTTTGATTCAGTGTCAGGATTGTTCACAAGAGCTCTCCATCCAGCCATCCACTTGTTTCTCTGCCCCCTGAATGACTCTCATTTGATTGAGCCCTTGGCCGTGTCCCTTGCATGCCAAAGACAATGATCAGTTGGCTAGTTCATGGGTATCAAAGAGGCCAGATAATAGGGAACCTCACAGCTGTGGTACGAGCTTCAGTTTACCTAATGGAAAAACTTCCTGAAGAAAATAGTTCTAATGATTTCACAAAATCTACACCTGGGAAAATGGATTATGAAATCAAATGGCAAAGCTCTGTTTCTTGATGAAGCATTCATCTACAAATTTGCATTCATTTCATAACACTAGAGCTTGCCTTATGTGTGAGCAGCCAGAATTGCTCAGATGAATCTGTACTCTAATTATAGGATTCAGAGAACTCTAGCTGGAACCAGGCCAGAATGTAAAGCAGTACGAAGCCCTATTTTAAGGAACAAGGAATACAAGAATATTTTGACCCTTGAATATGCATTTGAACCCTCAGGTGTTCCTTGTGTGTGTGTGTAATAAACACATGTTGGGAGCACTGTAACCTTGCCTTCTTTTTAACACATTTCAGTTGTGAAGGATGACTTTCTGAAGGGGAGAAGCTCAGGCAGAACGCGCTCCAACGGAGCAAAGCTCAGGGAGCCAAGGTTCCATTTGGATGCCAGGAAGCACTTCCTGACAGTCAGGACCCCGGGGGTGTGGAATGGGCTTCCCCGGGAGGTGGTTGAGGCCCCATCGGTGCGGGTGTTCAAGGATAGGCTGGACGTCCACATGGTGGGCATGTCGTGAGCGGAGCCAGCTGGTGCCGGAGGTCAGACTAGATGGCCCGGGAGACCCTTTCTGACTTGCTCTGTTTTCTATGTTTCTGTGTACCTGTGGAGACTTTCCATGCCATGACGAACACTGGAAATCCAGAATTTTCAATGACACTGAGCGCTTCCATGGATTCATTCAAAGTTACCACAAAGATTGAGCAGTGGAAACATGCACGGAGACACTGGGGCTGGCTCACCTTCCCTTTTCACATTTTTGTTATGCACACATAAGGAATAGGCCTCATGACTTCTCATTGAATCCACAATTAGCACAGGCAGCTGAAAGTTTTGATGGTTACTTGCAATATTAAATGCACACCAAACACTTAAACAACAACATCTGATGTGGCACTTTGGAAAATAGCCCAGTTCTATTTCGGCTGATTCAGAAGCTATCTACATTAACTCAAGTACGAAGCCCAAACTGAGATTCAGAAATCCAAGGCTTTATGTCTCCCATTTACTACCATGTATCCCATAGAAAGTGCAACTACTCCAACAAATTTAATCCAATGATATCTAGAAATAAACATGTTATCTAGGTTCTAGTCTCTGCTCCATTATGAAGCTCACTGGGTGATTTTGGGCCAGTTACTGGTTTTCATCTAAACCAACCTCACAGGGTTCTGAAAATAAAGTGGAATAGAGGATTGGGTTCTTTGCAGGAAAAGAAAGATGGGATATAACTAAATAAACTAGGAAAAAAGGACAAAAGTTATAATTAAAACTCATAAATTAAAACATGTCCATTAAGAGACGCACACAAAAATAAAAGATGAATAAAAGCATATCAGGATCATAAAACCCAGCTATATATAGTTTCCCTTTTTTGAACAAACGATAGTCTAAAATAATATTCCCTGATATGGTGCCCCCCCCAGATATTTTAGACTACAGCATCCAGAATTCCTGACTGAAGTATGCAAGTCCAAAACATCTGGGCAGTGCCAGATTGGAGAAATTTGGTTGAGGGTAATAATGGTTCACCTGAGTTCAGGCATAACTGGGAGTATCAGTTTAAAAGCAGAGGTGGAGGCAGGACAGGACTCTGTGTATGATGCAGTGCTACAAGTGATGGACTATTTTCATGTGTCTTTAGATAAGCTTGTGGTCTATCAGAGTGGAATTTCATATTTGCAAACCAAGAGAATACCCGACCTAAGAATCTATTTTGCTCTTTGCCCTTTTAAAGCAACAAATCTATGGGGTTATAAATGTTTATTATCTAGGTATGCTCAAATAATGCCATTCTAGTTGTCCAGGTTCATATATGTAAGGTGGCGAGTTCTTCATAGAGGTGCAGACGGAAATATGCATAGGGTATCCATGTATCTGAAAAATTAATAATTAAATGCCAGTGCATTCATGGGGTACATCGACAAAGTTCAAAGGGTGCTTGTCCACGTTTGTCACAGAAATATACTGAAAACAGTCTCCCAGTGATGAGCTGCAGCTCCTTAAGTCCCCCATATTTTTAGGGGAATATCCATTCTGATCTGAGTCTTCTTTTGATGTATGGAGACCAGAAATTTGATTTATGGAAACAAAAAATTTTTTGCTACCTTCTGCCAATGAGGCATTCAATTTGACCATGTCTATATAAGGTCTCATGTCCTGCATAACCAACTAGGAATCCTTACTTCCTTCTCCTCTTTCTGTTTTAATACTGTAAATCTATTTCCAACTAAACCTTCATGTCCACTGACAGTCGACAGTCACATTTGTAGTGTTGTTCATAAAACTACATGATGCACATACCGTACCTTCGTGTGCACCAGGAAATGAAAAGCTGTCTAGTAAATATATTTAGGTAGATATTAGGTGTAAAATGAGACACTGTTAGCGTAAGTTGTTAGTTGTTTTGTACAAGCTTTACTGCTGCTTTTGTTCTGACAAACAATCCATCCACCCCCTCAAAGGCTCTTATGCAAAGTCATTTTAAAGCAATAGCTTTTTTAAAAAGCAAATAAGGAACCACCTGGAGAATAGCTTTTCGGATAGTTTATTTTCAGAACAATGCTGCATTGGTTGGCTTATGTTTGGCATCTTTAGGCCAAAGATTTCTCCTCAGGAGACTGACCTGGCTCTTGCAATGTTACCTACCAGAAGCATACCTGTATTTGTTGATCCCAGCCTGAAGTCACTTCTGTATTCAGCACAGCATACCATTCTACCTTCTTGAAGCATGACAACATCCATTGAGGATGTTCCTGATTTATGATCACACACAGTATATGATATCCAAAATTACACTGGCTTCATTTTATTAACATATTGCATTTCAGGTTCATTTACAGCATGGGACTATTTACTCACAGGCCACTGTTAATAGTGTATGGTCTCTAATGCGTGATTACAGTCTTCCATAAAGCAAATAAAAAGATGAGTATAATCTAGTCAAAGTTGAAAGTTTAGAAGAAGCTCATACGGTCTAGGTTTACTGAGAAGTGACTTCCACAGAATCCAGCGGATTGTCTTCATTTAAGAATGAATAGGATTACACATTTACTCCTAAGTCACTCTGCATTTAAAGAGACTTATCCAAGTAAACATGCACAGACCACCAGTATCTAAGTGTTTTCTGAGTTGAGCACCTGTTTAATACCTTCCAGGGAATTCAGTGAGACTGAAAAAGTGCTTGCCTTAGACATGGGTGCATTCTTCAGGTGAAACATTTAAGAGCTGTCGTCAGGTGAATTATAAGGTAAACTGTTGGAAAGCTCTGCCAATGGACAGTGATCAAACCTTATTATGCAATCCTAGTTCTTTCCCTAGAATGAAAGTCAGCCAAGTGGGTAAGGTCACATTCTTGTTGGGCCCATTCTGTGAATGAGTAGAACCTCTGTTGCCCAAAGCCATCAGATGATTTGCCCTAACATTTACACATTACTAGTTAAAAAAATAATGAATGTCTCTTTTGTGTATTACAAAAAGGAAACTTATCTGGTGTTCAAAATAATGTATCCATGCTTCCTCTTCTTGCAGAGGAAACAATGCCCGTGGAAAGAATGCGGATGCGGCCATGGCTAGAGGAACAAATAAATTCAAACAAAATACCAGGCCTGAAGTGGCTAAATGAGGTAAGCCATGTCTGTATTTTTAGATAGCCATAACCAAATGAGACAGACAATTTTTAAAATGTTTATTGCTTCGATGCTATGCGAACCAATCTTGTGTTCACACTGATCAAATGCTTGTATACAATCTTGAGAGGGTCAACCGATATTTTTTTTTTTGTTGCTTCGGCTGTAACTTTTGGTTTGCTGTACACCAGGAAGGAATCATCATGAGTTTCCAAGGGGAGAATGGAGGAAATAAATGAGTGCCAGTTTCATACTGCAATACCAAACTCTGGTTTGGCACTGCATGTGTAGCAAACCATAGCGTTTGGTATTCATGGCTTTCTGGAAAATAGTGAACTGACCAGTCATGTTTCTTAATCTCATCCCATATCTACATGTCATGAGTTGCCAATAACCAAGATATGGTTAAATTCTTTTATAGGCCAACCTGCTCAGAAGGCTCAGAGAAAGATATGCCTATTTTCCAGGCATGCACATTTCTGCCTCCAAGAGGTCCACTCTAGGCAGCATAGATGTTTGAAATGTTTAGAAGAGGCCACTGAAATTCAAAATGTTTGCTTGAAATCACAACCCATTCAATAATACCTTAGCTGGAATGTTTATTAAATTCATACTGCAGCATAAGCTATGCCTTTTTGGAAACTTGTAACAGGTTTGTGAACCATAAGGGAACACCTAAGTATTTTCAAGTTTACACTATATTGCATAATCTCAAGAACATCAGCCCCTATGAACTCCTAGATATTTCTGTGGAGAAATACTAATTGATCCAGAAAGTAAGCAAGTGGTATAAATATATGCAGATGGTACAACTGCAGTCTCTTTTATAAAATAAGAAAATTTAAGGCAAAGTTAATCATTGTTGGTGATTCTTTTGCTCTCTTTTCCAGGAAAAAAAGATTTTTCAGATTCCTTGGATGCATGCTGCACGCCATGGGTGGGATGTTGAAAAAGATGCCCCTTTATTTAGGAACTGGGCCATTCACACAGGTAAGAGCAGCTCATTCATTTGGGCATTTTTTGGTGGAATTTATTTTCAATATAATAATTTGTTTTGCTTTCCCACATAATTAGGCTGAATAATGCCCAAAATGTGGTGCGGTGGGCACATGGGGCTTCTGCAGCTAAAAGGGCTTCCTCAGTTTCATCATCCCTCAGAGGAGACAGAGCAACGCATGCATCCCGTTGCCTTCTCATTCAATGAATAGCAAGGCCCTGGGACTACAACAGGGTCACAGGCATAACAAAGGTGTTCATTGCTGATGTCATGGATCTAAAAAGCTAGACATGGTCTAAAGTTAAGCACATTCCTGAGAACATCATTCCCACGCCGTTTAGAACCTCTTGAGCTAATTTTAAGAAGGCTTGATATGAAAGAATCTAGGTCATGGGTCCTCAAACTACGGCCTGTGGGCTGGATTCGACCCACCATGCCCATTTATCCAGTCCTCCTCAGAGGGCAGCGAGGTGGCAGCTTGCTCGCTCAGAGATGGTTGTGGAATTGCTTGGACATCTCCAAGTGAGCAAACCGCCGCTGCCCCATGCATGCCCGCGGGCACCCCCACCTCACTGGCCTGCGCCCGTCGCCGCCCCCTTTCAACTGGCCCCCTGTTGAAAAAGTTCCCCTAGGCCCCCTGATCTAGGTTGTGACATCACTGATATGGCACCCTAAATCCTAGAATTTGACTCACTTCACACAGTCCATCTGGCCTCTAGGGAGGTCAGAAAATTGTATTTTTAAAAGAAAATCTAAAGAGCAAAAATATGATGCTTTTTGTTTCTACCTTAAAAAGGAAGAAAAAGAACAAAAAGACAACCATGGCCATGCTTGCTGTGCTGGAACAAAGCAGGAGGTTTTGAGCATGCTGGTAATGTTCAGAGCACATGCCCTAAAGGCTCACTCAGCATTGGTCAGGGGAAAGCTAGAATTGTGCTGAAATTGGGGCTGGAAATTTCCGCTTTCTTCTGTTCTGATTCATGTAAAATAGGCACCCATGGGCGAAGCTTGGGCATGTACGATTTAATGGGCAGACGCCCTTTATGTTTGCATGGCATCATTGCCATTAATGTCAAAATATCATTGGATACTGCAAGCAAGTTATGCCAACAAAAGCTGGAGGTGCCCTGAGACCTAAAGTGTCTTTTCCTTCAGTCCACTCTTTTCAAGCTCTACCCCACTTGCTTGAATGTGAGTCTTAAAGGGCCTGCTCCCTGACTCCCTGACTTATTAACTCTTTGGTAGCTTTCTGCCTGGAATTCCCCCTGCATTATTGGGCAGGTATAGTAGTGTGGGAGGTACTCAGTTCTTCTGCTGCATCGGCTGCATGAGGAGCCATCAGTAAGGATTTTGACTCAGGCTTATTGTCTCCAGCCCATCAGCCTCGGGTTCTGCGGACCTCTGATGAGCAACCTCAAGCTCAATGTCAGGACTGTGGTTCTGTTCACCAGCTGGTGGTACTGTGGCCCTGGAGCCATCTGGCTCGTCCTTCTCTGAGTCACAACTTGGGCCCAGGGCTGTGATATCCTCACTTGATCTTGGTTATTTGCTTGCCTAATGCACGACCCAGTTCATACTTAAGTTTCTCCAGGCAGTCTTGCATATGGGAAAAATCTGTTTTGTAATGTCCAAAATAAATAACTGGAAGTTTCTTTGTAAATGAGTAACATCGACGTTTTAGTCAGTTTTATGGAGGAACATGTTTGGTCAATTAGGCCAGCAGCATCATTCAGCTGTGGCCAGGTGCCCCCGCTGCCCCCCACCAGCACTCTTCCACATTCCTCTTTTCAAGTTTTTGCCTTTTGCTGGCACGTTTCACTGCCTTTCCTTCCTCTCACTGAAATTAAGCCAATGCTGAACTGTTGTTGCCAGACCATTCTCCTCAACTTAAAGTCAAATTCCAGTTTAACAAATGCTTTTTATTCTTCTTTATCAGGAAAGTACCAGCCGGGAGTTGATAAAGCAGATCCAAAGACATGGAAGGCAAATTTCCGATGTGCTATGAACTCCTTACCTGATATAGAAGAAGTCAAAGACAAGAGCATAAAAAAAGGCAACAATGCCTTCAGAGTATACCGGATGCTACCCTTATCCGAGAGGCCTTCTAAGAAAGGTACTTGAACGGAACGTGGTGGGCCTCCCGGGTGCCTTGAGAATGCAGACTGATGTCTTGGAAAACAGAACCGTGGCGGTCGTGCAATGCTTGTCGTATTGTGTAAAGGCCATTTAGATACAGATGAATAGGCAACTGTTTCCTGTGCGGCGGGGGTGTCACGTCTGCAGAATGCTCACTGCTTGTGTCAGGCCTTCAGTTCCACTCTGAGACAAGAGGCGGTTGCACATGGCTGTAGTCCTGGGTAGACAACACGAGGCTCACAGACATCAGTGCGTCCCCAGAGAGCGTTCTTGGCACTTGGCAAGGTGTCCTATCCTCTGGCTTATTTTTTAAATCGGCATGTTTTCTTCTGAAGTGAGGATTGTTGGGCAATGGGAATCTGTTGTGCTGAAAACTGTGGATTCAAAAGAGTTGTTTGGCATGTTAAGACTCAGACCCCACCCCTGCTTTGTACTGAGTCCTTTGGGCAGGTGACCTGTCCTTTGCGGCATCTCCCATGACACCCATTTTGTAAGAAAACCAAGGAACAATTTCTCAAATTGTCAATTGTGCCCACAGTCCCAACAGAGTTGCTTACCCCTTTCTCTAACCCCATTGAACTGTGAGTTACTGTTGTCATGTTGTCGAAACCCAAAGAAGATAAGCCATTGGGCAAGAACCTACAATTCATGACCCAAAGACGAAATGATGGGTTTTATTCATGTTTGGTTTTGTTTGTTTGTTGCGATTTTCAAGCCAGAGACTGTTAGCACAACCGGGTTTAGACAATATGGTAACTCGTGCTTTATCAACAAGCCACAGTTTGGCAACCCACACTCAAGCCATACTCAACCTGAGTGAAGATTATTGTGTTGTCTGAACCCAGTGCATGTGTAAAGACTTCTGCCTGGGATCCCATAGAACATCTGCTAGTTGCAGTTGACAGTGCTGGGCAAGAGGAACAGGAGTCGAGTGTACAGTGTTTTGTTTGCGTCAGTGATGTGGGGCAGAGTCAAGGAGAAGCACAGTGCAATGATGCAGCATCACACAAGATGCTTTGCTAAACATTCCCAGAAAGAGGGAGAAAAAGGAACTGTGTGATGGCCATGTGGCTTGTGCAACAGCTGCTTGCAGCCTGTATGCCTAGTTTAGTTCAGTCACGATGGTTACCTTGCAGAGCCAACTGCAACCATGGCTGCTGTGCAGCATCCCTTAATTTCAGCCTGGGTTCTTCTGAAATGCCACCAAACTGACTATTATGAGCAATGTTATGTTCAGAGGCTTTCTGATCTTTGGAGAGGCTTGAGAGTGTGTTGGAGGCAAGGAAAACTGTACAGTCTATTAGGAAATGGTTGCAAAAAAGCTTTCACTGTATTTCTACAGGAAAGAAACCCAAACCAGACAAAGAAGACAAAGTGAAACAAATTAAGGTATTTTTTTCATTTCGTTGACATGACAACTTCTGATTATGATATCTTGATCCTACCATAGGGTTATCATTCTATGATTCTAAGTGTTATTGATGCTGTACAAAGGCTAGTTTCCATTAGCACAACATAAAGCCCACTAGTAGCCAGGCATCATTGCATCCTTCCCTGTCCCAATTTGCTACTTGGTGTAGATGGTGGCTCATTTCTCCGCTGCTGATTTCTCTGCTGCATTATCACTGATGATGTCATTCTGCTGTTGTAACTCTTATATGGCACCAAAAGAAATTGTGTGTAGAGTTGAGACAACTCTGTAAAGGATAACTCTGTGGGCTTGGCATGTGGCCTAGCATCGGCAGCACTGTGGAACAAATTTGCTTAATTTATCTTATGTTGCATAATATGTTTTGCCATTTTCCTGCATAATTCTGAGCAAGGAACAGTGCAAGACACTGAGTCCACCAGGGACCCCACCGACGACTGAAAATCTTACTTCCAAAATTTCAGCAGGCTTTGCCTACACCTTGTCAAGCTCATGGTCACAGACGTAAGGAATAGAAAACAGTGTCAGGGCACACTCCTGTGCATGTTTAGATAGAAAAAAAAATCTTACACACTGACTGGGAAACACTGCGACCTGTATCACGCATTCTCTGCTCTGTGCACTTCACTTAACTTGGAGAGCTGTGATGAATATTTTATAAGAATAAATGTTTGAGGTAGCACCTCATCCTTGTAACCCATAATATAAATTTTTCATTACAAACCACGCATTAACATTTCTTGGAAAGAACTTTATATATCCCACACATTGCTTTTGTGTATACAAGCAGGATCTATGTAAAAGCACAGTTGCTGTTGCAGTTCTGAACTTGGAAACCTTGAAACATTCCCTTGCTTTAGTCTAGCTACTCCAGCATGGCTGAGAAGATTGGGTATGGTGAGGGAGGGCGTCGCTAGAGGGGAGCTACAGGAGGAGAGGAGAGTGTGTGTCCACATCTCTCCTCTCCTGCATAGTCCTGACACCTGGTGTTTCCTTTCCAGCAAGAGCCAGAGGAATCATCTTATGAACTGAGTAATGGAACAAGTCAGGGGTTTTCCGATTACTGCTTATCTTCCACAATAAAAACTGAAGTTGACAGTACAATAAACATTGTAGGTAAGTAGTTCCAGCACGTTCCTTTTCCTGCCTGGTAGTTTTGGCTCACAAAGTTCAGTTTCACTATAATGGCAGTAATGCGACAGAATTAGAATAGCAACAAGGATAATTTTCTGGTGTAATTAAGAACCCTTGTAAAAGCTACTTGGAGCAGGCACAAAGAAGAGCACCAGAGTTGCTCTTTTGGTGGCGTTGGCCTTGATAGACTCACTGAAATCAGTGGGACAAGTTAATTATGATTTCAGTGGGCATGCTTCATCCATATGTATAGCTGGATCCAGCCCTTTGTCACCAATAAAAGTGACAAAGTCAAAATAGGAGCTTTGCCAGCACTCTTCAGCTAGGATAGATACCAGATTATAAGGAGAGAGATGAGATGGAAAAAATTTATGGCTTCATATGTAGCTAAAACTCTTCTTTTTTTAAACTAAGAAAAGAGATAGATTTCTAATCATACACAAAAATGCCCACATTAATTAATACTTTTATGAAGGATTTTTTCAGGTTGGATAGATTTTTTTCCGTTCGTTAAATGGCCTAATATACAGGGTGTCCCAAAAAAAATGACATTATTTGAAATGTGGATATCTGAGTAACTCCATGTCCTATGAATGGCAAATGAAATTAAATAGGCTTCATGTTGAACAATAAAAGATGTATAAAGTCCCCCTCAGCCCTAGCCAGAGGGATCATGCGAGTTGTAGGCCAAAATATCTGGAGGGTTACAAATCGTCCACTGCTGCTCTGCACCATAGTGAATGCTAACCAGGTTCCTTCTTAACCAGGTTTCTAAACCTTGGTTTCTGATTGCAGTTAGATGGGGTTTATGTTGATTCCTCTAATTAACGCACCAATGTTAGGTCTATTTCCCTCTCTGTTTTAGGAAATGTTATGGTCCGTGACAGTTTTTTTCCCCCTTGACTGTAATATATGCGTTTGATTGATACAACCACATATAATCATCATTATGCTCTCTTGTTCTTACAAAAGTTGTAGGAGATACACACTTTGAGGTTGGTCCTGAAGATCATATGATTGTTCCCAATCCTCCAGATGTTTGTCAGGTGGTAGAGGTGACAACAGAATGTGATGACCAGCCCAGTAGTATGAGTCAACTATATCCACTACAGATCTCCCCTGTTTCTTCCTACGTAGGTAAGCAGGCTTCTACTGGCATAACAGCTTGAGGAATCAGTTTAAGTTGCTACCATGTTTGAACTTTTGGTTGGTGCTTTTCTTTTCTGTTTTTAGGAAAATTGGCAGAGATTCTGTGAGTGCCTTTGGGGAAAGGTTTTTCCTAGCATATGCATTTTTTTCTGTGAAACAAAAGAACATACCCTGTTGTGGCATACTGTGGTAAACGAAACAGGGAACTAACATTGACTATTTCCTTGCAAATATATCTAGCGTATCTGACTGTGTATAGAAAAATCATTAGGCAGATAATCCCTAAACAGGACAAAGTCTAAATGGAAAGAGCGAAATTATTAGGTGTATTTATTTATGTATTTATTTATGAAAAAAATCCCTACCTTTCTGTGGGATTTATCAATATTATCGAATAGCAAAATATCAGCCAGGTACACTGTTTGTTGTCCTTCTGGGGCCATACCAAATGTTCTACAGAAAACCCACATGTCCTCCTAAGGAGGTGGCTCTGATGCTATTTTAAGTCAGGGATGGGCAGAAGAGAGAGGTCAAGCTATAGTATTTGGAACTTCAACTCCCAGAAGCCCCAGGCAGCAGGCTCAGGAATGCTGGGAGCTGAAGTCTAAACCCATGGAGACCTATCTTCTGCATTACTATCTAATTTCTGATTAGATAGGTGCATATGGGTGGGTTCGATTCTTAGTATGATCTAGTATCAATCGGTTCAGGGCAACACTTCCAAACTGGTGCCCTCTAGATTTGTTGGAATTACAGTTCCCATCATCCCAGACAGCCTGATGAGTAGCCTGCTGACTAGGGAGAATGGGGCTTGGAGTCCTTGTATACCCAGTGGATGCCAGGTTTGGAAAAGAGGATTTAAGTTCTTAAAGGCCCAAACCAACACTTTCAATTGGATCCAAAACATTGATTGCAGTGAAGACAATGTATTCTTTAGGAATAAATAAGAATTTTGTTTCTTCTCACAAAACACTCAGAGAAGTTCTATGTATAACCCTTAATGTTATACATAGAGACATTATGTAGAATGTAGAAACATTTCAAAGGAAATGTTTGTGTATATGCCCTTGTGAACCTATGCAAAAAAAATCCCATTTTTCAAGCTTTGCTAAATGAAGAAAGTGAATGTTTTGGGTATGCACTTGGATTTTTTGCAGTTGAAAGTGCTCACTTATCTGTATTCATGGGAAAGGAAAGATGGTCATATTCGGGAACATGCATCAAGCAAATGAAACTTTAAAGAGCAGGTCAGAGAACCATGATGAGCTCAGGCTTTGCATGTTGCCCATCTCTGTTATCTTGGATGCACACTCATTGTATGTGTGACCCCAGTCACAACTTTGGTGGCAGCATTTTGGATTGGTTCAAGGTTATTTCTGTTTGTTTATTGAATAGATATATATAATGCAGCCCATATTCTAAAATATCTTGACCAGTTTGCACGAAAAACAAAAGCTTTAAAATACACAATGATATGCATTAAAGTCCAATTAAATGCATTTTAGCAATTATTAATAAATAAAATCAATACATTAATTGATACAGACATTGAAACAATTCTAATCACTGCAACACATAAGCTTTATGAACACAAGCAAGAAGTATGTGAAATAGTAATAGAAATATAAAGAAGTATATTTAGATCTTGATGTTATTAGGGCAAATTACCAGCAACAGCCCAAGCTGATGAACCAGCCTAAACCGACTGATAACACTCCTAGCCTCTGTGATGAGTTGATGGATCCAGGAACACGCAGGCTGCTAAACCAATTCTTAATAAGCAGGTCCAACCCCATCCAAAACTTGTCAGGTTCCCAGGCCCAAATCAGCACAACTCCCCAGAACCTGAAAAGAACCAATGATGCTTAGCTTGCAGTGTGTATTCCATCAGCTAGGAAGATTCATGGATTCATTTTGGAAAGGACAGAAGTAATATGGAGGGAGGACGTGTCCCCAATACATGGGGTGCAGTTTCAGTGATCTCATGTAGTCATTCATCCAGATTTTCTTTCCTGCACCTGTCCCGGTCCCTCCACCCCACCCCATATGGCAAGATGCTTTTTAAGCATGGAGGAGGAATGTGGGGGACATTTTCTGGAGGAAAAACTTAAGGAGCGTCAGCTGACAGCTTTGGAAAAAAAAAGTATAGGATACAGAAGCCTTTGTTGACTGACCATGAGAAGCCCTGCTTAAAGCTAATGCCATTTTCTGTACCTTGCATGAGGAACCCTGAACAGCACATATCCTGAGGAAGTCTTCCTAAATGCAAGTGCCTTTGCGCCATGCAACTTTCAAGGGTTTCAGTCTAGGGCACCAAAAGTAATGAGAGGAAAATGGTTGCACAATTCAATTTGGTGGTTTCTGTACATGCACCTAGACATTCCTGATTTCCTCCTCCAGTGACGGTTCCTCAGACTGTACTGGGGCTGTGATGGCAGGAATGTGAGAATCCCTGTTTTGCATCTGGAAACCACAGGTACAGCTTAGCTGTAAAGTGCAGGGTGGTAGGATCAAGATACTTGTATGAGTGGCTTGTTATGAGAAGCTGCAAGTAGGGGGTTTTTTGTTTGTTTTTTTTTAGGAAGTTGGAATATACATTTCTGTATGTACGGAAACAAAACAACTTGGTTTGTGCTGAGTGGGAACAGAGGGGACAGTGCTTTAGAAGAAGAGGTTATTACCCTAGCCTCACAGCTGTGCTGCTGATCTGGCCTCTTGGGCTTGCATGCAGTATCCTACATAAAACCCAATCCAGGTGGCGAAGAAACCTCGAAGTGCTGTGATGGCAGTGCTTGGTTCTGGGAGAGGACATTGTAGCAGAATGAAAATGTGGTTAAAAATAACGCCTTGAACCTGAAAATTTAGATAAACCTTACCAAATGGAATGAGTTTTATCGCTTCCTGGGTGTGGGTGCTGATAGCTCTGCTTGGTGGTACAGCATGGGAATGTGCAAAGACTCCGCCATGTGATTATGACTGGTGCTTCTGACATTATTGAAAAAAGACCGTTGACCCTGAAGCAGGCTGACAAATAGGACCGATTTCCCCATTCTAACCCTCAAACTGAAACAGTGCTACATCCTCTTTTCTCTAGCAGCTTCTAAGTTTAGTATAATCTGGTCCTCAGTTTTTAGTTGTGTGACAATATCCAGCTGGCAGCCTTGTGGCATTTCATTGTCCAGTTAGTTTCACAGTGGCTGAGTTTGCACAATTGGGGAAGTGAAAGAAGCCGATGGTGCAAACCTGGTCACTGAATAGTCTGGTTTGACATAAACTTCATAATGTTGACTTGGAATCTGTCTAGATCCAGGGAAACAGACTCCATCCTCCTTATAAACAAAAATTGTGCTGGATCCACATTTGGTCATGCTTGCAGTATACCCACTGAAATCAATGTGAAATAAATTAGTCATGACTAACTTACATCTCACAGATTTCAGTAGATTTACGTATGACTACTTCTGAACCCAGCCTGTTGCTTTATATAGTGGATTCCTGGTTACTCTGACAAGCAAGGTCTTACATTTTCCATTTTTCATACCATTATCTCATTGTGTCCAACAGAAAGTGAAACAACAGATAGTATCCCAAGTGATGAAGAAAATGCACAGGTAAGCAAAGGACCATAAACTGTTTTGCAGATACCCACAAGTATGCTTCAGTTTATTACTTTGATTATTTCAAAGTGTAGATGCCTTTGTTTATTTATCTGGTTGCTTTGCTTGCTTGCTTAGATTGGGGGATGCTGGGAGTTGTAGGACATTTTTTTTTTTCTGTCTCATTTCTTTTCCCTGAACAGGATTGTGCCCTTAAATATTTGAAATGTTGCTACTGAAAATTGCTTCTGTATGGCTTCAGACCTGCAGCAATGTTCAGCATTCCTTACGGCCAAATAGATTGTGTGGCACATTGTATGCCAAGCACCAAGATTCCTCAGGGGACATAAGGGCCAGTCAGGGCTACTTAACCATTGCAGATCCATGTATAAAGTAAATAAATACATATTCTGCTTCAGCTGACGAGTAAGCATTTTGTTGCAGCTTGCAATGCTGAACCAATCCAGCGATACTAAAAATACAGCCGTGACAAGGCATATTCATGTTTCATCTCCAGGACAGCAGGCAGCATTCATACTCAGAAACTCCCTGGGGAACTTGGCTGTAGCTTTGGCAACGGTTGCTTTTCCATTTCAGAAGTGAAATTGAGAACTTACCGTGGGCTCTTGTGAAGCTCCGGCCTCACAGAATATCTTTTCAGCTACAGTTATGTCACATTATAATGGCTCCCAAGTCCAGCTTAGCTAGTTCACAGACCAGGCTGATGGAATCTGCCGAGGAGGCCCTGGTGGCAATGCATGGGAGGCACTTGTCCCAGTATTAATATTCAGGCCTGGTGCTGATCCCTGACTTCAGCGAGAGTGAGCCGTGCTGCCCAGGGCATCTTGTACAACTCCAGCGAGGCCAGAAGAAGTCAAGCCCGCCTGCCCTTTCTTTTCTCCTTGTGTAGCTTTTTACGTTGCTTTTATGACCCAGAATAGCCACTGCGAGAAGCACTGCACCAGAAGTAGCTAATAATCAGCACAAACTACATTGGTGCAATGCATATTTTCCACTTCAGCTTGCTTCCCCTCACACTTCAGCAGCTATGATATTGCTGCAATTTAAGCTAATATGTCAGGTAAGAATTTGTGGTACTGTTTTGACCTGTGAAAACTAGAGGTGAAGCCTTTCTGGAGACATTAAAACATACTGTTGGGAGATTTTATGAACAAGCAGCTGTGCTTAACATTTGTGCAAGTGTATAAAAGCTACACTGGGAATGCATTAGTTACAGCTTGTCATATCTTGGTCACAAGCTGCCACTTTTGGATTTCCTGAGTTCATATGTGGTTGAACACAATGGCAGGAAGTTCTCCTAACCATGATGGAAAGCTGCTTACACATGTGATACCTGTAAGATGAGAAGTATTTCTGCTTGGCCTGTTCAGTTCATGAGAGAAAAGTTAGGAGGAAAAAAAAAACATTTTTTCACAGTAGTTTTTGTTCGTGATTTCTTTTTAACTCAGTCAAAAGAATGGCAGTTTCAGCCTGTCAATAAATTGAGGATGCAGTCCAATCAAAGTTAAGCACTTTTGATTCTGAATGATCTCATTTGGAAAGGGTTAAGCCATACTCCTTACAATGTAGGTTATCTAGGAGACTGCCTTTCACTTCTCTCCCCACTTCCACAGCCTCCACATTTTCCAGATTGACATGTGGTTAGAATACACCCAGATTTGCTAATATGGGTATAGAAGGAGTTAACAGTGGTTGGATTGCATTGTCCCTGAATGTGCTCACAAAGTTCGTCTTGAAGTGTCCTGCCTTAGTGGGTCTGGCCAGAATGTTCTCTCTCACTATGTCTATACTGAATCAATTCGTGGTGGGGGATGGATTGCATCTGCAAGCCCAGCAATGGAGGACCATTTCCAGACTGAATTTCTTTGGGACAAACGCCTCAGGGGCTGCATTTGGCCACCCACTGCGTCATGTAGCCTGAACAGGATTATCCAGACTCCATTCACACACACACAACTTCTCCCCCACACAGTCAAGCTTCTGAGAAGCCATCATTGGTGGCAGTGGGGGAGTGATGATTTTTCCTGGGGGCTGGAAGGGTTGGGCAGCAGCCCAGCATGCCTCCCCAGTGCTGCAATTAGGCTTCTAAATTTCTCCTTTGTCGCTTCACGTGCAGCACAGGGACAAGGAGGGAAAATCAGTTCTATTCAGGGACCGCATGCAGACCTTTGGCAGGCCAGATCCAGAGGTTCTTGGCCCCATGCTAATCCTGTCCATGACACTGACCTGTGCACCAGCCCCACTCTCTGACCTCTGTGTATTTGGCCGAAGACATGCCTGATGTGCAATTGGGAATGGTGGGCAGCTGAGAATGCCGAACGCATTAGGAGACTCTGTTCATGCTTAATATCATTCATGTTCCCTGGAATGTGTGTAGGTCAAGCTCAGGGGTTGGCACATGTGTCACTTTTCTTCCACTGCTTGTTTGGGAAATGCCTTGCAGTAGGGTATATACATAACCTTGTTACCACATTCTGGCATGACCAAAACAAAATCTAAAGGAGAGAAGCTACACAGATAATGGGAGAATCAGTAAGTGCCATTATCTATGGAGCAAAAGAAATGGATTGTAATATGAAGCACAACTGCTTAAGGAGAAATGGAACCCTGTGCCCTAAACGCCACCATCGGGAGTCCCCTTTATCTTTTCTCCCCCTTTACCAGTATGACGAGAGCCATTTGATCATAGTGTCTCCTCTGCAACAGAGGACTTCTACAGTGGCAGACAGTGCTCTTATTGGAAGCTGTCCTATTGGTGATGTTAGCAGAATTGATAAACTGAAGGTCTCTTCTCTACAGGGTCAGCTTCAGTGGCAGAAGGAAAACATTGGCGGCAAGCAATACTATAGCAACTTGGGAACAAGGAACCCCCCTTACCCACTTCCTGGCATGGCTAGCTTTGTGACTTCTAATAAACCTGACCTCCAAGTCACCATCAAGGAAGAAAGCTGCCCTCTGCCTTACAACACGTGGCCTTCTTTCTCAGAGTTCCCTCTCCAGCAAATTGTTTGTTCAGCTTCCACCAGTTACAGCAGCAGGCCGCCAGATCATGAGAACCGGGCAAGTGTCATCAAGAAAACATCAGATATTACTCAGTCGAGGGTCAAAAGCAGCTAAGCCGTGAGCTGGTATGTTCTTGACAGATCTTGTGTTGTGGCTTTGAGGAGCACAACTAATGTACATTCAACAAAGCTAAGGAAAAAGCCTTGATAAAACAGATTGTGACTGTGTCTAACTCCAGTACTGGAGCATTTTAAACTCAGGACTCCAGCCATCAGAATGTAGACATGAATCAAGTTTGGAATTCCAAGGTTACAGCCCAAGACAGAAGGCCCACATTGGCATGTTCCAGACCTTCACCAAGAGGACCAACAGCCCCCCCATGGAGTTGCTGCACTTCTTGTAGTTGAGGCCGTAACGCAACTGAAAACCTTGGAATGGAAGAGAAAATGTGAACTAGCTGGATTTTTTTCTGAACCTTTTGTGAATATGTACATAGCGCAGTACTAGCAATATTGCAGTCTGCTTTCGCACCTTATTAAAAAAAGCACTTGCAAAAAAGGCCTTCATTATCTCGCTCTAATTAATGGCACACTTAAGGCCCTTCCTCCTGCTCCCCATGCTGTTTTTTTCCAAGGCTCATCCAGCTAATGTGGCCTTGCCTTGGACTATGGAAAAATGAATTGAATAGGAAGGTAAACTCTTCCCATGTACATTTCACAGATTGTTTTCAAGAGTGCTTGTCTTATACGTGTCTAATCTGCTATGCTTGAAAGCTGTGTGGTACAATAGAAGAAAATCTATTACAGATATATTATGCAAATTCCCAAGTTTAAAGAGGAAAAAAGATACTCTAATTCTAGCCAGAGTAAGCTTTTTTATTTTTTTATACAGTGGAATATTTTATTCTAAGTAAAATTCTAAAGTGAATATAATTGTTTCAGGTTTTTTATCTTTTCTACAGCAAATTTATAATTTTACAATTCGGTGTCTTGGTTGTCAGCAACTATTACATCTTTGTGGCACATTTTCTTTTTTCTCTTTGTTTTTACAATTTGTAAAGATGAAATAGCTTTTAATGAAATTTATGTAGCAATCAAACTATCCTGTGGATTGATAATAAATATTATATATAGTTAAGTTTTTAAACAAACACCTTGTCTGTATTTATGGGATTTGATAAAATGCAATGCATTGAGGGGCATTGAGACTTGAGTGAGTCTCACGTGGTGGCAGAAGGAAGCAGTAAAACCCTCTTCTAAAACAACAGGCACGATTCAACCAATGTGCACCATACTTGAAACCCAGTCATCTCAACCGGAGAGTTAAGCATGTTCATCACTAAAACTGATGGAGTTTCACAGTGCTTAAGGTGTGTGGCCAAAGGATACTTTGGATTCCCAGATTCAAGCTCAGGAACAAAGCACCAGCTTCAGGGCTCTGAGTCTGTGCTCTGCGCCCACCCCTCCCAACACACAGGGCAGAAGTAACCATGCTAGCAACTCAGCCTCGAAGAGGAGTAAAAGGGGTGGAGAGGGAAGAAGGATGCAGATGCCCAGATGGGAGGTATCCTGTGTTTTCTTAGCCTCCTCCTCTCCTTCTCCAAATATGACCATGTCGCTAATATGCTGAGTGGGACGTGTAGGGAGGCAGCGATACATTCTGCTTCTTCTGCTCTTATTGGATGTTGGGGGCATTATGAGCACTGAAGTTGCAACCTATAGAGCCATCCCCCATAGATCACAAAGCATGATCTTTCTGTTACAACCAGTAGTGATCATCCTTTACATTTGCTTGTCCATGTGCCAAGGACAAGCCAGAGTTTCTAGGAATTCTGCTTTGCTGTGAACCAGCCAGAGCATTGCTGGTGCATATTGTTCCCATGTGACACAGCTGGACTATGAGAATGACCAAACAAAGCAGGGAACCCCTCTTGGTTTGTTTACCATCTGAACCAGGTCTCAGGTGTCCCTCATAACAGGTCAGACTCACATGCCATGGTTTCTAAGCCATTCCCGTTGACAAGAGCCTGCCCTAGTTCATGGATGGTATAGAAATTAAATAAAGAGGAATCAAGTAGAAGTATGTGAACCAGTTGCATGCTGGTTCAGTTAGCCAGAATTCCCAGCAACGCTGGCTTATCTTGGCATGCAAACACAGCCAAATATTTTGCTTCATTCCAGGATCTCAGGGCCAAACACCAGTGTAAGCACATGCAGTGCCAGTTTGGATCATGACCATGGTGCTCCAGCAGGGGAGATTCAATATCCAGAGAAAACAGCAACATTTTAAAGACACCTATAAAGCGAAGAGAGAGTAATTTCATAGCTAGCTTATGGAATGGTTAGCTTCATAGCAGAAGACCTTAAAAAGTATGTATTTAAACTGGGATAAAATCAGAATTTAAATGGCAAAAACACACACTGTATGTATAAAACAGAGAGTTAACTTCTGCCCAGCCTGACCTGGTTCAGCTCTCTTTCCCATCTTATACTGCTGCAGTGCATCTTTTTTTAGTTAGAAACTTAATAACTGTACATTTGTGCACTGTTGGTGATCCTTTTTCTTTGACAAAAGCTTTGATGCATTTTTTTATGTTTTCAAGGAGCAGGAGAACATTATTCTCTTATTTTGAAAGTTTCTTGGAGGTTTATCATATAGTACAGCTCCAGAGCACAACTAGGAAACCACGAGTAAATATGTATGTGGCACACTCCTGTCTGTTACTGATAACAGATTTTTCCAAGTATGTGTTGTTTTTCTCATTTAATAGAGCATTTTTAGAGTGCAGTGCAGCATTTAACCCTTTTATATCACCTGAAATGACTGGGCCCCATAAACTGCTGTTGCTTAGAATGCAACATTTGCACATTCCTTTTGAGTGGTGTAGAACCACCGGATGACTTGTTTCCCATGTCTCGGAGTGCATGTGCCTTCCTAGAACAAAACAAAACAAAATGAAAAGTACTGTCTGTATAGCTATATATACCTATATTAATAAATACAAGAAGAGAATTCACTTCTAAAATACACAAATTATTAACAGATTGTTCTGCTGTGGCCCATAATATTTAAGTGGCCACCCACATTAACACCATCTTGTTCACACACACTAATATAAACTAATATCACACTTCGTACAACAGGGACAATTTCAACTTTATTAACAGGGCATCTGTTCCATACCTGCTATTTTGAAACAAACAAGAAACTAAAACAGTTTAGGGAAGTATGGTCCCTGAAAAGTATTTGTGAGGGCAGGGAAAATTTGGAGGGAAAAACAAAGATAAAACAAGCTTTTATAACAATTTAAAACTTCTGCCACACTAGACTTGCCAGTTATTCTTCTATAGGATCCTTCCTATTGGATTGATATGGAGGTAGCCACAAAATAAAACATAATGCCAATACACAAATACAGCAGTAAAGTAAAGCTTTCACTAAACATGCATACATTCTGCAAAAAGTAATCACTAAAAATACAAAGCCAAGGAATAGAAAAGGGAGCCGGAAAGAAGCAGAACAATCTAAACAAGGGCTAATCAAAAACTTGCTGGAGAAAGAATTAATATAAATGAGAGTTTCACTAAATGAGAGTGATGGAACAAAGTAGGAGACCGCTTGGTTTCCTGGGATCTCCCAGCTGTCCCCACCAGTCAAATTTGAGAAGGCAAATAACAATCTGGCCTCAACAGATAAACTGAGAGAGAGAGAGAGAGAGAGAGAGGATTCAAAGGAACAGGGAAATGGCTATTCAGCTGGTTGATAGATTTATGATGTTCACCAAATAACAATAAGGTGGGCCTGTTACAATCCAAACAACAGGTGGGTTCATACATCATGCTAACTCAAACTGCAAAAAAGCTCTGCAGTGCAGGTTGCTTGTGGAACATCCCACAGTATACCCAAAAAGCAATCAAATTTAATGGGGCATGTTCTCCCTCTTTTTTCCCCTCCATGCTTCAGCTGCAATATTGCAGTGTTCATGGCCGAACCTGTCCCCTTTCCTGCTCCGATCACTACCCTTTTTTGATTGGCATCACCATTCTTCTTCTGAGCCTCAAAAGCATTGCAATTGGAGTCCTTAATTTTTCAGCCCCTGTGTGACCATATTCATAATTCATTATGATTATAATTATTTTTTAGTTTTTCACAAGTGTACATTTATGTCTGTTTGGTATGAGGACAATTTCTTTGTACATTTCAGCTGACAAAGAGCAAGGGAAAGTGGAGCAGGTAACACAGAAACTGACATAGTGAGACCGCATCTAGGCTATTTACACAGTTGCCAGGGTCCAGCAGCCAAGTTATCAACTGAAAAGCACTAGTAATGGGGGGGGGGGGGAGCAAGAAAGGTTCACCAAATCTCTCAATTTACCAATGCATTTTCCCAATATAATCCTCTCAATGTTAACTGTTGAATGGACACTTCTAAATTTCCTCCAGCTTTTCATGTCTGCAGCTACTTCAGAAAGAGAGGATATCAACTCCCTGTCCTTGAGGAACACTTCTTGTGTGGTTATTGCTGTTCCCAATGTCAGATATGCCAAAGCACTGCTTAGGTATGGGTGGAGGGGCAGTCACTGGCAGTGGTATGGATGAGGCGGGTTGCTATTCTTGCTGACTGGCTTGCCAGAGAATCCTCACAACCCATGATGAAAATTGCTTTCCTGGATTCAGACAGCAAGACAACCCATTGTGGATTGAATAGCATTAGAACAAGCCATGGGTTGCCAAGAAGAGTTCTGGGTTTGGATGGCACAACACAACAACCCATTGTGGCTAGGTACCCAAGATGGGTTGTTGCATCGTGTGACCCTGATCAATATGAAGCAACCAGTCAGAGAAATGTTCCAAACCACCTGCAGCAGCTGCTTTTGAATTCAAGACCTGTTCGATTGAATATAAGTTGAGTTTCACATTTATTTTGCCACTGCTCCCAGTGTGGGTTAGGTATGTGATCTCCTTCAAATGGCCACATAAAAGCCCATGAATTTCATTATGTTAAGTCAAACTCCTAAGTGTCAATTTTGCCCAAAATACTTAATAATTAAAATTAAATAATAAAATTGAATTAGAAGCATTTTAATACCTCCCCTCCACATATTTTTATGTAAAGAGACTGTCCCATTTCAACAAGTTGCGAAGTAGTTAAACAAATTATTTTTCTTGGCTTGGAGATACACGGTGGCAGAAGCTTCACCTTCTAATTTCTATGTTTTAGGCTGCTGTTAAAAGTACAGATGAAAGGACTAGTGAAAAAGGTTGATAGCCTTGATCTTCCTGCCTTTGTCCCCATGTACAGCAAGATTTGAAACACTAATATTAAAACAGAATGTTAGCAATTAAGTATATAGACGGCAGTGTGAAGCAGCAACTAATCAAAATTCATCTGCACCAGGGGTGTTTATGATCACATATATTAGGCATCAAAACAATGCTATTCTTTTTCTTGCATATTCAGTTTACGTTTACTATGGGCCTGTAAGTGCAAAAAGAATGATAATTACTAATGTGTACCCAGCAATCTGTAGACTTTGAACTTAAATATCACTATTCATTAGCTACACATAAAAGCTCATATAAGGCACTGAATTACAAAACAAGCACATTGTAATTGCCTTTGAACTTTAGAACCATTATACTGAAATCTTTGAATAGCTAAGAGATCCTATTGCAGCACAGATTATATGGTTTATGACTCTGTGGACTGTCTAGCTTTGTGTAAAACTGCAGCTCATAGATCAAATGTGTTGACTTGCCCTAAATGAAAAGTGTATTAGTATATATGCTAGTCAATACCGATTCTATAATAAAAAGCACACAGTCACATTTTTCATCAGAGGTGGAAACATGTTTGCCGAATTTAGGAACACTGAGATCTTCTAGGAATCAGATATGGGGAAATGCCAAGGAGGTGACAGCTTCCAGCACTGCCAAAAAACAAAAGACATTGGATTCAGACAAGGTGATAACCCAACACGGGTTGAGTATGGCTTGCATATGGGTTGTTGTGCTGTCTGAACCCAGTTGCACGAAGAAGCCATAGCTTTTTTAATCAGAAATAACCAATAAAGAGAATACATAGTTTCTGGTTTGTGAAGCATGCATTGTTCAGCACAGTTTTCTTACTTGGCTGGGTTCTGACAAAAT